AGGGATTGAACTCACAACCTCATGCTTGCCAGGCAGACACTTGTGCCACTGAGCTAAATCCTCACCTAACCACTCTATCTTTAATTAAAAAAAAAAAAAGGTTGTTCAGAGCAGGTCCAGGTTAAAATAAAATCCTGGCATAGGAAGCTAAACATATGGAGGAAATTTACCTCAGAGCTTCAGGCTGTACAGACTTGTAGTTGAGGTTAAACCTAGTGTCTTACCTGCTTGGTTAAAACTGATTCAATGATACTTTGTTTTTTTCCATGAGAAAAAATTATACAGACTCAGGTAGATAATCAAGAGCAGATGTCTCCTCCTTCATGTGCTGGAGCTGCCTTAGCACACCCTTGTCCCCTTGGGCAGTGTGGCCTGGATGTCGCGGGATATCACATTCGCTTCCTTCCCAGCACCCACCGTCAGCTGACTGCACCGATCTTCACAGGACAGTTTTATAGCGACGATGCCACGTGCTAAGTTAAAACAGGGTTTTATCACAAAAAAAAAAAAAAAAAAAAAAAAAAAAGCGAAGCAAGAGAAATAACTGTGAAGGGATCCTCGGCAGGCTTTGCTGTGAATAATTTGAATCCAGTGCTAGGTGAAAGAAAGGGCTTGCTTGTTCCACTGTGCTATGCTGCATCTCCATTTTATAGTTTGCAGGAGATGCAACACTTTAAACAAAATCAAAGAAATATAATCAGATTTATATTTTGAATTGCTCTTTAGGTGCATCAGAAAGAGACAAGGATACACAAGGGACAGCTGTGAAAGTTGAGGCAGCAAATGATGATGACACAGAGTTCTCATTATGATTCTTCTGGTTTTAGGATCCCTTTATGCTTTAAAAATTATTGAAGACCTAAAAGTGCTTTTGTTGGGTGAGTTATGGCTAATGATCTTTACCATGCTAGCAATAAAAACAGAGTACATTTTAGAACAGAAGAAAACACAAACACATTCTGTTAATCATCAAAGTGATTACAGCATCAAATATCATGTAGCCTCTGGAAAATTTTGCTTAATATTTAAAAGATAATGAGTGTAAAATAGGTTAATAATATCTTAATAGTATTATGTCAATGATTTTGACCTCGTGAACCTTCTGAAACAGTCTTGGGGATCCCCAGTGATCTCTACATCATACTCTGGGAATCATTGGCTTAAACAAAAGTCATTTCAAAAGAAGGGGAAGAATAAGACTACAGGCCTTAAGGAAGCAGAAATGGCAAAAGTTCATGATTTGCTTGAAAGATGTAATTTGCAAACACAAGCTCCCTTCTGCATTAAGTGTTGCTCTTTTGAAGCTAATATGTGAAAGGAGCACTGTGCTAAATGCTTAATACTTACTTTCATGCAATGCCTATGGTATGGTATTTCATAAATCCTATGGTAGGTTGCTAAAGTTCTGCAGCGAACAACGTATCATCGTGTGCACGGAGACATGTAAAGCATCCTGGCTACCCAGAGCCAGTGGTCTGAAGGAAGTCAAGTTATAAACAAAAGCCTCAGCCAACAGGGCTATGCTCCTGTCCTTTCAGGGAGTTGCTTACATCACTCGCCTGAGAGTCTTATCTCTGCAGCTCTTTCAGAGAACTGACTTCTTTTGTATTTCTCTGGGTCTTGGTTCAGACACTATTCCTGCTCTAGTTATTCACTGCTCCTCACTGCTCAAATCTCGTGCCATCTGTGTCTCTTGACTTCTATCTTTAGCCTGGATTCCATTCTTATTTCTCCGCTAAGCCTAGTTTCTCAGCATCTGTTCCAACTTTCTTCCTGTTGCTGCTGCCCCATTCTGGTATGTTATGTAAATTGATTTTCCTGTATTCTAATAGGCAATCTGGTCCAACTACTCGCAGATACTCTGAAATTTCCTCTAGTCACTATTTGCAAGGTGACTCCACAGCCATCCCCGGCTCACGGTCAGCCGGAGTTAAATCTTTGGTTTTTGACATGAGCCCTTCCAGACCTGAAAAGGTAGGATATGGTACGAAGAGAAAGTGAGGCAAGGCCAAGGGCCTAAGAAGTGCTTGACAAAAGAAAAATTGCTTCTTTGACCTCCAAAAATTGCCAGTAAAGTTTCTGAGGATTTCATTTTCTGTTTTTTTCCACAATGCACAATATCTATAGTAATATAACTTTGATGATTATGTGGAACTGTGTGCTGACTATTTGAAATGATTGTGTAACATGGAGAAGAACTTTTGAAAGCAGTGTCTTTGCTCAGCAGTTTAAGAACAGTAGCCAATTCATTTAGATAGCTACAAGATGAAGGTCATTTTGAATGTTATGTTTGTTTTGACAGTGGAGAATATACAGAACTTAAAAAAAATAAGTACCCCAAATATCACCACATTAAAAAAGCAAATAATAATAAGAAACAAAATATTTAGTTTTTACATTTCTCTGACTACATATTTTATAAGTGGCATTTTTTTCCTTTAAATTTTGTTTGCTTGAATTGAGAGCCAAACATGTCCACAAGGTTTATTAGGTCTCTTTAATGTAGTCGCTGCCATGTGTCTTTCAAAATGTTTGAGAAATTATTTTTATTTATTTTTTTGGTTCTGGGGATCGAACTCATGACCTCACACTTGTCAGGCCGCTTAGCTATATGCCGCTTAGCTATATTCCTGGCTTTTAAAAAGTTTTTTTCCTTTTATAAGTATGCATTTGCTAAAAAGACAGGTAGCTTTTAAATAGAATTTTCTATTGTCTAGATTTTGCTGATTGCATCCCTGGGGTGTTCTTACACAGTGGCCACTGAATTAACTGCATTATGAGACTGCTTTGAGGTAGTGTTTAGTACTTAACATCTCTTTGCAAATCCTTTTATACTCTTATGACTGGGGATCATTGTCCAGATTCATTAGTTTATTCAGATTTGCAAGTGGCAACATTCTAATTCTAAAACAAATTTTCCCCATATAGCAGCTGAAATAAAGAGAAAGTTTTCAACACGAAGTTTTCTTAGCCTTAAACTAAAGAAAGGCATAGCATGAACTGTATTCCTGCTCTTCCTTTAGCTATTGAGAGCCTGGTCAGATCTTTCTGCTTTTTACAAGATCCACATAGCCTTCATTACCTTCTTAGCTTTCTAAGCTGACAGTAAAGTTCCAGGCTTATCTTGGACATTTTTCACTCTGGATTTGAAGGCTTCTGTTTTTCTAAAGAACTCTGGCTTTTTAAAACAACAATTTATAGCCGGGTGTGGGGGCTCATGCCTGTAATCCCAGCACTTGGGAGGATGAGGCAGGAGGATTGTTGTGAGTTCGAGACCAGCCTGGGCTACAAAGTGAGCTCAAGGTCAGCCTGAACTGCACAGAGAGACCCTGTCTCAAAAAAAAAAAAAAAAATCCAAAAAACAACAACTTACATTAGTGAGCACAGCACAGATATGACTGAAGCTCATAGGTATTAAATCTGTCTTCATTTTTAAGTGAAAGCCTTTTAAGTGAATAGACAGGAAATAGATTTGTTTGTTTTTAAGATATTAAACATTCTGAATTTATATTGATGTTTATAGTACAAATTCTTGGCTATTGAATATGTTTAACCTATCGATTTTACCTGTTTATTTTCTTTTCTCCCATGCTGAAAATCCTAGTTCTTGATAAAACCAATATAATTATTCATTGATTTATTCAATACTACACACAAAGTTATCTCAGGAGAATATCAACGGTTCCTACAGTAATATGATCCATGAAAACACTTTAAGATGTGTGTAGTTTTTTTTATGTGTTTTGTGTTTGCCAGCTTTTCCTTACTCACTGCATTTTTATGTTATTCAAAAATAATTTCTGTATGCTTATGCCACAAACTGATACATATGTTTGTTTATTTCATTTTACTTTTGGCTTTCTGGAGTTGCTTTCAATTAATTTTTATAATTGTTTAGAATGTTCTTATGTTTTCAAGGATAAATTAATAAAACAAATATGTTCAAAGAAGTCAAATGCCTTAGTGTGCTCTTTTCATGCTTTTATTTCTTAATTCTCTTCTGTTCTCTCCACTTTCTCCCTTCCACTCCCTTACATGACCACTTAATTTTGATGTATACTGGGACAATTCTAAGAATTAAAAAGGGGTTTATTGATAGCCCTACCTTGAAAACAAGAATAAATTGCAATTCTCTGGGGCCAGTCGGGCAAGTGTGTCATTCTCTCTTAAATCTATTATCATTAGGGGCTGGGGATTTAGCTCAGCGGCATAAGCGCCTGCCTTGCAAGCAGGGAGTCATGAGTTCGATCCCGAGTACCGATAAAAAAAAAAATCTATCATTTAAAATTTTGTATATTTAATCTGAATATTAGTGTCTGCTCTAGACAAATGATGGGATATTAAACTCAGTTCCTCCATTTAGCTTTCTTCACTCAAATTTATTTTGGGGCTATTTTGAAATAAAGACAGTCTCTACTCCTTTTACAGCTGCAGAGTTTGCATTGTGTACTTGGATTATAATTTATTCAGCCTGTCTCCATTAATTAAAAAGTAGTTTTATTTCCCTATTTTTGGTTTTTAAAAAAGTCCTTTAATCAGTAACCTTGTATATAATGTCTGTATGTTTTTACCAATATCATTTTTGGGGTAGATTCCTAGAAAGGGAATTACTGACACACATAACAATTCTTCTCTGTGGAAATTGTACTTCTTAGCTGCTTCCTAGTAAGGTATGAGAAGTCTTTATAACAACAGTCTCTTGGTACTTGTCAATTTGATATATACCATGTTTTTGAATTTTCTTTGACTATATATATATATATATATATATATATATATATATAGTTTTGTTATTTTGGTACTGGGAATTGAACTCAGGACCTTATACTTGCCAGGCAAGTATTTGTGCTACTGAGCTATGTCCCTGGCCCTAGTACTGTATATTTAAACTGAATGGTAAATACACACACACACACATTACAGGGACAGATAAAGAATTCTAAGCAAGGTTAAGATTGTGAGTCATACCATTTGGGGAGTATGGCAGAGTGACAGACAGATTGCTCCTGGAATTCTTCTCTTTATTTATTGGTCTTCTTGGAAGTGGACTGGGTCCTGTCACTAGTCGTGGCCAATGAAGTGTGAGATATGTGCTGTGATATTTCTGGATTGGAGAAGACATACAAACAGTTTCTAAACTCTCCTGTCTCCTACTGAAACTGAGGAGACACTGTGAACCTCTGTTAGGCTCTGTCTATCTGTAGTCCCCGCTGAGTGACCACGGAGCAGAGACCCCTCCTGATGTGCTCGGCCTGTGGAACAAGAGCAGAAATACATTTTTATTTGTGTTGAGTCACGGAAGTATTATGGCAGTTTTTAACAACACTCATATACTCGGTTTAGGATGAAACAAACTGTTTCTTTTTTTTCAAACTGTTTCAAAAGAATTACGATACCTAAAGTTTAGTGAATATTAACACATTCATTATTTTCTAATTTAGGCAATGGTGATAGAATAATATAATTTAAATACTTTTGAAATGTTTGAGTAGATAATGGGGCTAGAAGTGAATAAGTAGTGTTGATCAATACTGTAGTAATTGATGACTCAGGCCCAATTAGTCTGCCTGCCTGTTACTTATCATTTCCTGTGGGACTGACACTGGTGGGCTTTGGGAGAGGGAGATAAATAAGGAGGGCAATATCTCTGCTTTTATGGAGTTCTTGTCACAGAGAAAAAATCGGTAATAAAAAATGAATAGATTAATTAAATAACTGCATGTTTTGGGGGCTGGGGATTTAGCTCAGCAGCATAAGCACCTGCCTTGCAAGCAGGTGGTCATTTCGATCCCCAGTACCGATAAAAAAGAAAAAGACAAAAAAAAAAAAAAAAAAAAAAAAGCATGTTTTGGAAAAGTGTTATGAAGGAGGTAAGAGACGTTCATCACAGAAAAAAAAAAAAAAAAAAAAAAAAAAAAGAAGGTGGTGGTCAGCCCTAAATGAGATACACAGGAAGGAAAACATTTCAGCTAGGTAATCAGCATCTCCTAAAAGCTCCACCTCTGAACACATGAGGACGTAGGCGGATGTTCTTGATGTTGTACACTAGAAAAAAGAGCTTCGTTATATTTGTATTATACCAAAATACCTGTAATGTGACCCTAACTGTTCTGTATATATTTTTCTTCTCCCTTCTCCCTCTGGGTGACCTAACTGATATGTTAACCATTGCTGCCCTCTACAAATAACAGATGTGGTGCTAAAATAAGGTAACAAAAGGTTGTTAATTGCTGCTAGACCCCTCTGTTCTCTGCTGAGGAAAACAGGATCTTCCCCATTAGCCTACCTCCTGATCCACGCCCAAACCCCTTACTTTGTAAATTGTGATATATACTTAAAGGTGGCAAGTATAGGGAGACACACAGCTTTTGCAATCTCCTACTGCACTGTGTTGCTGGGCCCAGCATAAAATAAATCAGCACTGCTTTTTAAAATATGTTTTGCCTCACTTTTTGAACTCGAGTTTGGGGGCTCGTTTGTGGATTACAAGACTTGATCCAGATGATAACTCATGGTTTCTCCTTCTTAAAAATGTTTTGTGTGTGTTGATCAACTATTTGTAAGATACAATATGTAATCTATTAACTAGTGATTTCTTACTTTTTTTTTGAAATTCTGTATTTACTTGTACCCTTTTACTGTTTTGTTTTTCTTTAAATAAAAAAATGAAAAGACTGTTTTGTGCAGCTTAGTGCTTTCTCTCAGCTCCTCATGCTTTTTTTCCCCTTCTTACTACAAAACTGCAGACAGTAGATTCTGAAAGAATGTCACATTCTTTCTGCTGAGTTAATTGCTTTTGTCACAATCTTCCTTTCTCTTAGAATATCTTGGGAAGTATGGCCACAGTTTTCAGTTTTAATAGAATAATTCGTTTGCTATGAGAGGAAAGGTTAAGAGGACCCGAGTGGAGCAGTTCGGAGGTTCATGGTGATGACTAGGTAGGGGTGGCGGCAGCACAGATGGGGCAGTGGGTGGATGTGGGATAGATTATGGAGATAGAATGATCAGAGCTTGCTGATGGATTGCATATGGGGTAAGAGGGAGAAGTTAAGGTTAATTACTGGTTTTCCAGCACAGATACCTGGGTGGTAAGTGGTGATGATGACCAAGACAGGGAAGCAGAAGAATAGATTTTGGAGGGAAATGAAAAGCTTTACTTTGGATGTGTAAGATCTGAGATGCTTTGAGACATCTAATGGCAAGCGCACAGCTGATTGTAGGACTTCAATTCACAGAAGAGATTTAAGTGAGAGGCCTGAACTTGAAACTATTCTCATGTAGTAATATAGCTATGAAAATATAAGAAGTGGCCTGGGATTGGAAGATAAGAGAATCACCAAAGAGTGTAAAAAGAATGATATTTGTGTTACAACAACTACTATTACATAACATTTAATAATTCAGCAGACAGCTGAATCTACTGGATAATCTGCTCAATAATCAGTTATGTTGAAGTTTAATTGCATTAACGAAATATTATAACTAGCAAAAGAGCAACTGAAAATGTGAGGAGAGAGTGTAGCTTTTAAGTAAAAGTCAATGTTGGGCAGATAGAAAGCCTTAAAAGGTCAAAATCTTTTTGTTTAATAAGACTATTTGAAAAAATACATATACGTATATATTTACAGTATATTAGTATAAGGCAGGCTGGCACCTTTGCTTTTATGGAATTTAGAATAAAATCAAAATATTGCCGAATCCATTTTATCCCATCATAAAAATAACTAAGAGAAAAAAAATCAATGTGTTTTTATATACCCTAAATATTAGGATACACTTGGGACAAGAACTCAGTGATGGAAAATTTATAGTACTATAGACATACATTCTATTACCAGAATTTATGCCTTCCTATATAGTCAGATTAAAGGTAACTTTAGAACAATAGGTTTTCAATTGCAAAATCAAGGCTGAAATTTTATAGACGATAAGAGCTCTCAAATCTCTAGAGAAAAATGTAGAAAAATAAAAACTTACTGAAGGAAAGCAATGTGCACTCTACATTATTATGGTAACAAATTAATAATGGTATTACAATAAAATCTGGTATAATCACATTTTCCTTCTTGGTATTGCAGCATTAATCTCTGTTTCATGGGGGATGGAACAGAGCAAAAGACATATAATGGGATGGGATGCAGACTATTTCGCTTCTTACAACCAAGGCAGTGGGGCCATTAATTACTGAAATTTTTGTTGCTTAACAATTGCTTGTTGTTCATTCAGCCTTTTAAACAGCTTAAGTAGTCCCACCTCACAGTTCCTCAACTTCACACTATTGCTATTGATATTATGCATTTCATAACTTTTTTTTTAATCCCTTTCTTGCACCTCAGTAGCAAAAAAGGCTTGGAGCATCCAGGCATGGCTTTGACACTGCAATAACTGAACACATAATAATTCCCCAAGAAGCAGGCTGAGGGGCCAAGAATGGGCAGGAAGTTACCCATTTGCCATTTCAGTAAGGGAAAGAAACACATACAGATGGCTTTGCTAGTGCTAATTCTTGTGCGATCAAGTAAAGAGCTATTAATTTACAAAGGAATAAGGCATATAGCTATTTCCAAAAAAAATCAAATATAGTTCATTTTAATACTTTTCAACTGCTTTTGATGAACTCATTAGCTCTAGTAATGATGTCAAATTTATTATTTTCTATACACTGTTAAGTTTAGATTGCCATTTCTTCTTTAGAAATGTCAATTGTACTTTGCAGAAATAGTAGCCGTAGGATTTTTATGAACAAGCACTTCACCAGACACAAATACCTAGAAAAGATGTATATAATGTGTCACCACAGGCATATTTATTTCTATTATGGACTTATTATGACCCTGTGTTCAAAAACACATTATTGAAATGAGGTTGCATTACCTCACATGTAAAACTTTCTCACTGTAATAGCCTGAAACATCCACAAAGGGAAAATATGCAAACTTTTTCAAATGAATTCTCGCAACTGAAAATTAGAGATAGACTACTAAACATTCAAGAAACAGTCAATCTTACTGTCTTTTGATTTCAGGAAATAAAACAGAGAACGTCTGGAGTATCTACACTATCTGGAGAGAATACACATCACTAAATGATTCTAAAGTAATCACATGAATAACAATATCTTATTTCTGGAAGCAGTCAAATGAGACCCATATGAGTAGTTACTATAATATCTGCTTTAAATCTTCTGTAAACAGTTTCTGTAATCTTTCCTGAACATGCATCTACATCATTCATTAGTATTCTTTTACTGTCAAGCATTTGGCATCTCTGTGATAGATAATATATATCTTAAGAGAGGCAGGCACTGCAGCATGTGGCTACTGATGCAGCCACTCAAGTAAGCTGAAGTTTGACGGGAAGCGTGTGGCAGAATCTCAGAGAATGACAGGTCATGGCTGCTAATTAAAAAGGGCTTTTGGTGAATCGCACTCTAGTGTAAAGTTTTGTTCTCACTTAGACATAGGGCCATGCAACCCTTGAGATGTCAAGATTCGACTCTATTACTCAAAGTAAGAGTATGAAATCACCCCTGCCTCATGCATAGGCTTAATGCTTGTGTTATATGACATTCCAGTAAACTATTAGATAGCTGCAGATGATATCGGCATGAAGAAATAGTATTCATTTACTTGGAGAGGGAAATGAAATGTCCACTAGTCTTAAAATCCTTGCCATCTGATGCAAAGAAGAATAATTGCATTGTGTTACCCTAGGAAATCTTTGGAGACTCACAGCATATTAATGAAGGTTTCTTTTTAGCTTAATGGGAAACATTTAGTAGTTTGTCTACAGATGTCAAGATCTCCTTGAATTTTAATTTTCTGTAGAACAGTCTCAGTGAGATGTACCACTGTACAAATATCTGATATCCAGAGTCCCTGCTCTCAGTGAACTATTCATATGTGACAAATCAGCATTCAGGGTATTTTGATGGATATTAGTAAAATATCAAGGCAATTGTCCTGCATGAGATATAACTTGACATTCTTGAAATAACTAATTTTAGGTATATCAATCAAGCAATAGATTTTAATGAAGTATAACTTTGATATTAATATTTGTGTAGACATAATACATTGTATTTCTTTAAAGCAAAAATTAAAATGATAAAGAAGACTCTATTTGTGGTGAGAAGATTATAAAAGTCAGTATAGAGATGACTTCAAAGGGATCTTCCAAAGGAAATGAGCAGATAGATTCATCTCCCTGTGTGAAACAGTTGTGAAGCTTTGGTTAACACAGGAGGATATGT